CCCGCGTGCCCCGCGCCCGCCCCGCGGGCAGGCAGGCAGCCGGACGGAGCGGGCTCGCCGGTTTGGATTGCTTGCAGCCCGCGAGGTTGAGCCCGGGGCCGCCGCGGCGAAGCCCCCCGCCGCCAGGTGTAGCGACACCTCGCCCCGCGGGTACCGCCGCTGATGGCAAGTTACTATGGCGACTCGTGTGTGTTTCGGAAACAGCTTCCCCGAGTCAGAAAGTGTTGGCTGCCCCGAGACCCTCCCACCCACCGCCGGCGAGTCCCTCCCCCGGCTCGGCGCCCTGCTCCCCACGTATTTGCCCTGGCCTCCGCCCAAGCCCTGGGGGCCACCGCGTGGACTTCTCCGGCTAATTTGTCCTGATTTCGCTGTGCTTTTCCTAGGCTCGGCAGCGCCCAAGGCAGAGCGCGCGTCTCGACGCCTGGCCCCGGGAAACGGCCTGGGAAATTTGCTCTGCAGTCTCGCCAAACTCCCCCGTTTTTAGGAGATGCCGCTTATCTGCTTGCAAACGCTTGGTGCCCCTGCCGGCCTTCTAACGTGACGCTTCTTCTCTTGCAGCCCGAAGCTCGGTGACAAGAGAACCGTAATGCTCGCAATCCTTCCCTACCCGCTCTGCTTCGTTACCCGGGCCAGTCACGCGTAATTCAAATGGGAGGCAAAATGGGAGGTTTTCCCAGATTATTTTGCCAAGAAAACAAGCTGGGAAAAGCCAAGCTGACGAAACGCAAGTCTCACTTTTCCCTCCTGCCGGCGGTTTTAGCAGCTCTGTTCCCTTGGCGGCAGCCGGATGCATCGCCCTAAGAAGCCGCTGTACAAATAGGGAGAAAAAACCAAAAAGGCGTTCAAATGAAGTTTAATCTTTAAGATCAGCAGGTAACCAAGCCTGTGGAGCAGCGCTGTTGTTCAACAAACGCCTTCCGCGTAGAAATACGCTTCACTTCCCCACTGGCCTAAACCGGTTATTCTGGGCACCCAGTCGCCGAATATTTAAATAATTCACATCGGTATCGAATCAGCGCCCCTTCGTTGTAACTGGTACATTTAAACGTCTCCTAACTGCAGCACGTTTGCATGTAAAGATTTAAAAAAAAAAAAAAAAAGCCAAAAAACGGTCATCACGTGCTGCAGTTCTGCGTGCACAAGAACACCATTGTGCTGGGCGCTGCACCAGCGCACAACGAAGCAGCAGAGGCCTTTTCTTAACCTTCTGCAGCCTAAGGCAAGAGGAAGCCTGAGTGGGCTTCGGCTTTCCTTCGCCCCCAGTGTCACCAGGACACCAGGGGTTTTATATTTAGACTTTCCAGAAGCCAGTCTCACCCATAATCATAGATGATACAAGATCTCCTCTACTGTTCAAACGCCCAACGAGCGTGAAATGCATTAGGCCGACCATGGGCAGAAAGCACAAGAGTCTCCCAGGCGTTTGCTTTTAAACAAACACAGCGTTTTACATGACAAATACAATTCAGTAGTTCCTTCCTTCATCTTAATTTTTCCATGCAAGTAAGCAAAACAAGCCTACGGGTGGCTCGAACTACTAGCTGCTACGGCCTGGAGGTAGCGGGGAGCTGCCCCGCTGCTCCCTCCCCCGCGGCCGCCGCTGGCCCCAGTGACCCCGTGCCTGGCTGGAAAGGGGGC